TAATTATTGTGAATGCAGAATTTGATAATTGAAAATATAATTATTTGCCATTTCTTAGTGTGTTTTTTCCGTCTTGAAATTTATGTTGATTTTTCTCAAATTATTTTGAGGAGGAAGAAAAACACAACAAAATAAGTGAAAGTATTAAAGCTTAAATTTCTGAACGCTAGAATTTATTTTTTGTTTGTGGCATCGTCAAATTTAAATTACCATAGAAAAAATTTAAGCTTAGAAAATGGTAGTGAAAAATTGGGGAAGAAGAAGAAGAAAATAAAATTAACTTTGGCAAAATGAGGCTCTCACGCGCGTCTAGTAAGTGTATCACACTTACTATGCTATCTCAGCAAAAAGTGTCAAATTAATACAATGGAGCATGACATTAGATGTCTAAAATGAACAAAGCTTAGTTGAGGTGTCTAACTGAAAATTAATACCAACTTTAAATAATCACCGTTGAGTTTAGCCATAAAAAAATAACGTAATTAAGATATCTAAAGTTAAAAGTCAAAAAAATTTAAAAATCTATTCGGCTTAAATATTAAATAGGTGACATAATGTACCAAGCCCAGGCATAAAGTCGTGGTCCAATTAGAGGTGTTATATTGCAAGTTTGTGACATGCATGCATCTATTATACTCACAATAAATTGGCTAACTAATATACATGTCATTTTTTTTCCATTTCTTTTTATGTGAGTTCGCGTAGAAATTCTGATTAAATTCAAATCACGCATAATAATATTTATTTATCGATAGCTTCTAATAAGATTTTCTCTATATCAAAATTTAAATTCTCAACTTCTAATAAAAAATGAAACAGCCTCACTATCATACCACAACGATTAGTGACATGTCGTGTCAATTAGGCATACACTATATATTTGGTCGTCCTGGTACCACAATGGATCTATATTTGTGATCACAGAACATTCCTAGCATGTGAACAATTATATCATATAATAATTAATTAGAATAGATTGATAATTTTATTTTATTAATTGAAATAATCGAACATAAAATTTTCATGGTTTCATATTAATCAAGTACATTATTATTATTATTATTCAAGACATAAAATAAAATAATTAATAAGAACCATTAATTGTGTGTCCACCATCAACACATATAACTTGACCAGTAATATATGAAGCAGCTGGGAAACAAAGAAATGCCACCATTGCTGAAACTTCTTTTGGTTCACCAGCTCTACAAATTGGTGTTCTGCTAATACTTCTTTCAATAAGTTCTTTAGTTAATGAATCTTTCTGGAACAAAATCAGATACAATATTAGTAATTATATTATATTTCATTTAAAAATATCATTCAGAAATATTTATTAGATCGTTGGTTCTTAATGAAAAAAATTTCACCTCATGAACTAAATTTTAAGATTGAGTCAGATCAATTAATTTTCTTATCATGGTAATTTTACCTTTGCTGCTTCGATGAGGGGTGTGTTTATAATCCAAGGTGCTACTGCGTTCACTCGAATATTATCTTTAGCCCATTCGTAAGCCAAACTCCTTGTAAGTTGATTCATTGCACCTATTAACATCGAAAAATACAGAGTTAATACCTCATATGGTCACTCAACTATACACTCTTCTCTCAGAAAGTTACTCAACTTTCAATTTTCACTCAAAAGTCACTTAACTATGCATTTTTTTTCTCAGAAAGTCACTCAACTTTGAATTTTAACTCAAAAGTCACTCAACTATCCATTCTTTCCTCAGAAAGTCACTCAATCTATTAAATTGTTTTTAACTAAAATTTGTTGATATTAATTATTTATATAACAAATCAAAAAATTTTAAAATAAAAATACCATTTAAACCATCTAGTGATCCACCCACGTAACCCGGCTCATTTTTTTAAAAAAGCATTTTTCAAAGTTATTCTCCTTTTGAACTTCACCTTATTTCAACTAACAGTTTGATCTTATTATTTATCTTCAATACTCAAAAACATCATCGAAACAATCTCCGATTTGCTAATAATACGATTTCAAATATTTAATGTATATTTAATTTATTTTTAGACGTCATATTTTCTATAAAAAAATTAATTATATCATACTCTGTCAAATACACTTAATAAGTGGTGGTCATGGTTATTATTCCCTATCTTTAACTAGACGTCTCAGATCTGAGTCTTGAAAATGAAAATGTCTCATTAAAAGCTCAACCCTTATATATAAATAGGTTTTATAATGTGCGAATTTGAATTAATCAGACCTCGAGAGTCGAAAATTACCTTTAGTTGCTGCATAGATGGAATTTGTTGGCAATGCCACAAGCCCAGCAATAGAAGAGATGAAGACAATGTTTCCACTTTCTGAGGCCTTCAAAATTGGGTGTGCAATTTGGGAGATGTGGTGAGAAGCTTCAAAATTGGTTTTCATAAGAATAGAGTAATCATCCTCAGTGAACTCTGTAGCTGGCTTAACTATTAGTATACCTGCATTATTTATCTATATATATATATAAAAAAAAATTGAAGTTCAGATATCATTCTGGTAATGATTGCAGAATTAAAATTTTCATTAACGTGATTCGAAAAATAATAATTTAATATACAGAATATGAACTTGAAATTTTAAGATAAATTTTAAACAAGATAAAATATGTATTCTCTTTGTCCCTATTTATATGATGTACTTTTATTTTTATTTAATATTCTAAAAAACATATTTTTTATATTTTAAAAATAGCTTAATAATAAAATTTTATTTTACTTTAATGACATAACTTTAAGTCGCAAAAATGTTGATGGCTAATACATTAGTCTATCACAAATAAGCTAAATTAGAATTTTTATAAAAGGTGTTAAAAATATGAAAAAGTAATTACACGAAAAAATAAAAGATATTCAACATTTATTATGTATATATAGTATATAATATTAACTGTACATATGGTGTACTTTTTATCTCAAGAGGTTCGGATGCACTCTTTGCTCCTATCGGGTTTCGTCTCTACCTTGACTAGTGCCGAAATAAGAAATTTTGCTAAATGTATTCAAAATTTAATATATATCTCTAAAAAATATATTTGATCTATACATATATAGAATATTTTTTTTTATATGCATAATGTAATTTTTCAACAGAGATTGTTCAAGAAATTATTCTTGAATCTAGATATATAGCTACGCCACTGATCCTAACTTGAAGTTTTTTTAAAAAATCTTTTCGTAAACTGTTAGTTTAATCAGAGCGCATCATATCAATTGAAACGAAACGAAATGAAAGGAAATAGTAAAACAAAAAAATTAAAAAAAAAAACTTACTAGAATGTTGAGTTTTCCTTGGAAAAAATTGATAACCTTCTCCATAAGCATCTCTCTTTGGGATCTCAAAGTCAAATCACATACACATCCTTCTACTTTGTAACCTTTGCCTCTCCATTTCTCTAAACACTCATCAAGTTGTTCTTGGTTTCTACAACATGTATAAACTGTAGCACCAAATCCAGCTAATTCTTCTACTATGGCATGCCTAATTTTTAACCAAAACAATAACAATACAATAACAATAATAAATTCAATACTATAACTGGAGTCTGAGAAAGATTGAAAATTTACCCTATGCCTTTAGTGCCTCCAGTAACAAGGGCAGTTTTCCCTTGAAGAGTCCACCTACCATCTTCACTATTATTGGATTCATTTTTTTCTGCCATTGATAGTTCTTGCTTGCTAACTTAAGTTGAATAATAGGAATTAAGCAACATGTTTTTGTGTTAAATATGTGACAAAATGTGCTAAGGGGTCATAAAAAACTGGTCCAATTACAGCTGTGCAATATTGCTAAGTTTGTGACATGCACACTTACTATAGTCACAAATTTATTAGGTAGCTTGTATGTCATGTCAATTGTCAATTATTATATGTGGCCGGCCTGAATTATTTTCTTGTTTATTTTTTTCTGTCCTTCTACGGCAATATTAAATAAAATTCGATAATTTTAAATACTTATCATCCTTTTCTGTCCTTTTTACGGCAACATTATTATTATTTTTTTTTTTATCAAACGGTAATATAACGATAATTATGTTATTGCTGTTAATAATTATTATAAAATATTTTATTTGTGATAAAGTTGTTTAGTGCATGAGTAACTCAATCCATTTTGAATGAGCTTAAAAGCTAGTCAAGCTGATTTAAAAGTCAGTTTTTGACTTATTAAAGAATTTGACAAATATTAAAGTAACTTTTTTTTTTTAGTAAAAAATGAATTATTTTTAGTTTAAAAGTTAAAGATAGGTGAGAGGTGCTTTTTTTTTTCAACTTAAAAGTTATTTTATGTTGATCGTATATATTACCTTTTTACCCTTAATTCTTTTATTATTATTATTATTAATATTTTATTATTTTATTATTATTATTATTAATTATTAATATTTTATATATTATTATTATTATTATTTTATTACTATTAATATTATTATTTAAAAATTTTTAATAAAAATTCTGACTTTAACACGAGCTCGAAGACAACTTGCAATAGTGGAGGTGGCTAAGTAATGAACTGAAGTCAGTTAGTTAAAGCCTATAAGTATATGCTCTTAGGTGGTGAAAGCTATGTAGAAAAGTATATTTTCTATTTCAATTTTCTCTATCAATAAAATTCTTTGTTCTTGTAACTATTTTGTATCTGAAAATTTGGAAAATATCAACATTATTGAAACTTTCTTCATTTGCATATATTTTTTTATTCTCTTAAAAAATATTACGTAGTATCATTTACAATCCATCTTGATACATAATATTTGTTATCAAGAAATTGAAAATTTTAATTAAATTATGAATAACATAATTAAACCTCTTAGAAATATATAACTATCACGTTTCGAATTATCTTTTTATTTTTATTTTTATTTGTTTGTTTTCATTTCACTTTTAATCCCTCCCTTTTTTTAAAATGCTTCTTTTCCTTTTCAACACAATTTTAATTTTAACTCTCCGCATAACATATTTAAAATTATAAATTATAGAACATTTAGTTGGTAACCCATTCTACAAATCTTTAATTCTATTATCCAACTCCAAACATACGATTCACTCACGAATAATTCAAATTCAAGACTTCTGATATATATCACTGATGTTTTATTTAATTATTTATTTTTATTTTTATTTGATGTGATGACAATAATTAACAAGATCCATTAATAGTTATTCCTCCATCAACACACATAATTTGGCCAGTGATATATGAAGCACATGGTAAGCAAAGGAAGGCAACCATGGCTGATACTTCTTTTGGCTCTCCAGCTCGACCACCAATAGGAGTTCGACTCACTAATTTATTGATCCTTTTATTCATTTCTAGATCTTTCTGCAAAAAATCAGATACAAAGTGAATAGGGTTTCGATCGATTTTACTAAAATTAATACGTCTAAATTTAAATATACATCTAGATCTCTGAATTTGAGAATACATTCCCATATAAATGTTAAGAGGATACATTGAGATTTGAATACAAAATAATTGAGATAGACTTGTTTTTTTGGAAAATCTGATTTAATAAAAGTTTATCTTTATCTAAAAATTTATAAATATAGTATAATTTAACAAAATACTAGATTAATCTAACACTATATTGACAAAATAATTTTATAAAGTTTCATATGTAGTGGTTGATGATGGTAAATGACCAGAGTCATATATAATTGTGTGTACCGATTGAGATTGGTACTTGTTAACGGTGCGATTGTGGATTTAATTAATAGTGATGACGGTACATTGTGGTGGTGATTGATTGGTGATAGTGAAAACAAACAATGGTAATAAATGTTTATGATGCTTGACGATATATAATGTTGACTGATGTCAGCTAATGATAATGATTATAATTAATGATAATTATTAAAAATAATTATTAGTTGTAATGATAGTTTGATTATAGTGATAATTGATAATGATAGTAATTTTGACTAGAAATATTAATGATGATAAATAATGATGAACGATATAATAATTAATAATAGTGGTTAATTAATGACCTTAACATTGAATGGAAAGATAGCGTGAGTTGTCAATTTTTATAGAAATCCTTGATAGACATCTAACATCTAACTATCTTACATATATATTTAGTGGATTTCCCATAATTAAAATAAATTTATTCGATTGATTATAATCTTAAAAATTAAGATTCAGTCCTTAAAATAATTATATCGAAATATGCTTAAACTTACTGAAGCTGCTTCGATGAGAGAAGTTTTGATCACCCATGGTGCAACTGCATTAACTCTAATATTGTCCATAGCCCATTCACATGCCAAACTCCTTGTCAATTGGTTTATTGCCCCTTATTTTTTTAAAGAAAATGTAAAATAAATCAAATAAAGATTAGGACATCTTGTAGTGTAAATATTCTTTATACTGCCTTTGATAAGGGTGAAAATTAGTATAAAAAATATATAATTTGTCAAATCTATTTAAATTTAAAAGGTTAATGACTCGTTATTTATATATTCAGTTTATTTTGATTTGTTCATCTAAAAAATAGATTGATTTAAGTTAAATATATAATTCGAATTAATGATGAATGACCTTATCAATACAATACCAAAAATAATTTTATTTTTGTTATGTATATATATATATATGTTTTATTTGGCAAGTAAACAAAAAAATAAGCAAACAAACAAAGAAATTAAAACTTAATTAAAAAAATAATATAAAGTCAGCGATTTAAATTATGAGTCATTGTTTAGCTCATTTTGACTCAAACCTAAATACCATTGGACATGTTAAAACCAGCCCGTTGGACCCATTAGTTCAACTTGTATGTTTGACACTTTAATGGGGGTATATACAAAATTATATCCAAAAACGAGTAATTAAATAATACCCTAATAACCTTGAAATAAGTTATTTTAAATTTTTTATCAGACAAATATAAAAATATTGCCTAAATAAAACAAATGAGGTAAATAAATTAAAGATCACTTATATTTAAGTTTACTTTTTTCGTAATTTAACCTGTTATATTTACGTGACATTAATATTTTTAAAAATAGACATAAAACGTTATTTTTCGATCATAATCCAACAAGCTTATTACTACCTTTAGCTGCTGAATAAATGGAACATAAGGGCAGAGAGACAAAGCCAGCAACAGAAGAAATGAATACAATTCTTCCATTTTTTGAGGCTTTTAAGAATGGATGTGCAAGTTGAGATAAGTGGTAAGAAGCCTCAAAATTTGTGCCCATCATAGTGTTGTAATCTTCATGAGTGTATTCTGTTGCTATATTTGATACAACCACAGCAGCATTATTTATCTAATAAAGATAAAAAAAAAAATTAAGTCAAATTAATAATCTTTGAGTAAAATATAGCTACAATTAACTTAATCACATGGAGTTCAATTAACTTCACCTCGGTAGTGAAAGAATTTTTAATTTGTACCTTTTTTTTAAGACTCAATGATCTATTAGAAATATTTTTTTTCTATAAGATAAAAATAAAAATGTATGTACTTCTTATAAGATTGTATTCAATATGTCGTTATTGCTGTTAGAAGTATACCTAAAAATAAAGATGATAATCTACTATAACGAGTAAAAACACATAACTAAAAGTTTCTTTTCTTTTTATGACCTCAGACATTTTGCAAAGTCTGGTAAAATTGTTGGATCTCCTCCACTCTTAATTAGTTTTGAGCCTTAAAATTATTTAATTACGTGTTTTGTTCTTCAAATGGATCGAATTTTACTTTTTCCTTGAAATAAGTTAATCGTTTTGCCTCTAACTCAAATTTGTGTCTCGTGAGACATAAAATTTTTTAACTTATGGAATATTATGATATAAAAAGTTATTTGTTAGAAGGTGTAAAAATTAAAAACCAACGTAAAATAGGCCAAAATTGCAAATGACCCCCTTAGAGTGGAGAGACTTTTGGAGGGAACCATTCATCCCTTTTATAGGCCTATTCTAAATTTCCAAACACTAACACAGATTAGTCGAGCTAGTAAATTTCATTTTTTAAAAAATTATTAAAGAAAATGATTGCATAGTTGAACTTACAAGAATATTGATTTTTCCTTCAAAGTAGCTGCTAACATTGTCCATAAACTTTAGTCGTTGAGATCTTGATTGTAAATCACACATAGACCCTCCAACTGTATAACCTTTTGCTTTCCATTGTCTAAGACATTCATCAAGCTCCATTTGGTTACGTGAACATGTATAAACATTTGCTCCAAAACTTGCTAATTCTTCTACAATGGCATGCCTAATATGTGTACAAATAGACCAAAAAAAAAGATGAATTATTAGAAATTTACTATATGTAATCAATATATATCCATATCATGACTTATATAATAGGAACGGAGCTAGAAAATGAGTAGAATTAGCGAGGATCCTTAAGAAAGCGGGGGGAAATTGATATACTGAACTATTGTTACATTTGGTAATTAACCAACTTATATCGTTATGATTGCTAGGGTTCAAAGTAATGCTATTTTTTTTTCCTTTAAATTTCGTACAAAAATATTGATTTAGAGTTAGTAGCATAACAAAATAAATCTTCAATTCAAATCGTAGGTCCGCCTCTGTAGACAGACGGAGAAATTAGATGATATACCCTATGCCTCGAGTGCCTCCAGTAACAATGGCAGTATTGCCTTGAAGAGTCCACCTACCATCAGTATCCATTGCTAATTTCTGATTAATTTAGAGAACAATAAAAACCTATAATTTTATATGAGACTTATTAAGTTTAATTTCTTGTTTGACAACTAAGTGGTTCGAGACCGATCGATATAAACAAGGACGATGTAACAAATTAATCATGGAAATTCCTTTATTTTATGTTTTATTACCTTTCACCTTACTAAGCTTTATATATTATATAATATGTATAAAGGTGTATATGCATCTCTTATACATTTGTATAATTTTTTTTGTGAAATCGACTATACTTTTGGGCTTAGGTAATTAATGGGCCCAATATGATCGAGGCACATCATTCTTGGATTTTTTTTTGAAACCCACAAAGGAACAATTATCATCATTATATGAGCATTCAATTCAATATTCAATCACGTTGTATTTCCTTTAACATAAAACGTAAAACTTTCAACTCTCCGAAAATGAAATATGACAATTATTATGAAACGAGGAAGATATATCATAGTTCTGAGCCCAAGATGTTTGACTATAAATTTTTCCGACGTTGTGATGGTCATAGAAGTCCCACATCTAGAAATTAAAAGTCGCATAAATAAGAATGTTTCATGGATGTATGAGCATAATAGGAGAGGTGGGTTTAGAAATGAGGATATCCAGGGTAATAGGAGATCTATGAATTAATGTCATATGCAGAGGTGTGAAAGGCTGACAAAGAATGGTTTCTAAAGAGGTAGATATAGACCGAAGAAGCATTGAGGGAGGTGATCTGGAATCTAGATGACCATTATTAGTTCACCGAGGACATGGTTGTGGAGGACGTATATTAGGGTAGAAGGGAATAGGTATAATAGTTGTAGTATTGCTCCGTAATTCCTTGTCCTTCAATTTCTATTACTACTTGTTATTTTTTATACTTTCACTATCCTTTTATTTTGTTGTAGATACTTTTATGCTATTATCTGTTGTTTGGTTACTATCTTATGTTTTTTGTATTTTTGTTATTTTTTTTGAACGGCTTAAGATTACTTTTCTATGAGTCAAAGATTTATCAAAAATAATTTATCTACTTCTGATAAGGTCTATATACATTTTACCTTTCTCAAATTCAACTGTATATGAAAATATTGGGTATGTTTGGTCATAGAGTGAAATAACGTTTTTATAAAAAAATTGTCTTCAATGACTTATTCTCATACTAATTCCAGTTAATCCAGAACTAAAAAGGTCAAACAAATAAGCACATTTGAATTTGGACTCTTACAACATGGACTTCATATGTTGACTAAAGATTCGACCCTACTTCTAGATGTTGTTTGTACAAGATTGATAGTTTCAACATAAGTTCAACACAAATTAAAATTAAAAATTAAATTATTTAATTAGACATATCTCCTATATTCCGAAGATAATGTAAAATTTTAGCGATTATTAAAATTCATATAGTCAATTTTAATTTCTTTAAAATCGAGACATAGTTATTGTAATTATTATTATACGATAGATATAGGCAGGGGCGGATCCACATGCACCCGTGAGGATACACGTGCATCCGGTAATTTTTTTTAAAAATCGTATTTATATATATGTTAAAATGATAATCTAACAACAAAAGTTGTTGCGGGTGCACTGGTCGAAGTCTCCTCTTTGAAGCGAATGCGCGTGAGATTGAATCCCGCTGAAGGTAATCTTTTTTTTTTACTTAAAATTCAATTTTCTCTTTATTTTTTTGGTTCCATTATCAATTCCTGCCAAAGGTAACTCTTTTTATACTTTAAATTCAACATTTTTCTCTTTAAAAAAAATATTTTATCTCATTTCTTTCTTAGTTGAATTTAAAAATAAATAAAAGTCCCAGCACAATTTTAAACAAAATATAAAACTAACTTTTCCTAACATAATTCTAAACAAAATATAAGACTTTTAGAAATCTATGCTTACAAGTATTATTTATTGTATAATTAAAGTCCGACTCCCATTATCTTGTATAAATTGGTAAGTTCTTCTTTATAGGCGTATTTTTTTTGTGAGATTCGTTGTTCATTCTTGTGATTTGAAAAGGATAGATTCTTTACGAAACATAATTTTTCTCAACCAATTTCTAATTTTAGAGATATTTTTTTGGGTTTTATAGATGAAATTTTGATTTGCAATCACTTAAACCGGATCCTAGAGAAATTTATTTATTAATTTAAAGATTTGAGGTGTTTATTCAAAGTGCTAAATTCTTGATAAGTGTTGATTGTTCTTTTTTTTTTTAATTATAATGTTCAATACAGATTAAAGTGAAATAAAATAATAAAATTCACTATTAAATTTTGTTGGGGCTTCACAATTTTCGACACCCTAAGCAGTAAGCACTGTGCTCTGCTAACCTTACTCTTAAAGTCACTTATAGCCTTACTCTTGAGCTACTCTTAGTGGTGCTTCCCTATCTTTAAATCCTGGGTTCGACTCTGAATATAGAAAAATGAAATAAAGGAATGTTGTGGATTTGTGGTAGCTAGAAGGATGGAATTATACAATTGTGTTATAATTTGACTCTCATTTACCTACCAAATCTATATTTTAACTAAAAGATTATCCTTTAATTAATTACTCTCATTTCATTAAATCCAATTCCAATACCTATTCAAATTAAAATTAAAATCCAATCAATCTCTTCAAGAGAAGAGGTCATCTATCTCTTTCAAAATATAATATGTAAATCATCAATATCTCCAACATAGAAAGAGATGTTTAACCAAACACTTCATTAAAAAAATTGTTTAGTGGTATCAAATAATTGAATTTTGGATTAGACCAAGTTAGTCAATAACTAATTATAAACATTTATCAAAGGGCTACTACAACTATAAAATGTATGATAAGAGACAAAAGGAATTTAATCAAATAAAAAACACTGTTTTGTTGTTACTCTCTATCTTTCTTGATTTTAATCTAGCCAAACAAAGCTTCATGTTGGTCAATAGTAAAGTCTAATGCTTTTACTAAGAACACGTTTGATCATGATTTTTTTTTTTACTTTTTCAATGGCTACAAAATATAGTAATTAATTTGATAATTTTTATAATAATCGGTATTACTCTGATCAAATCTCAATCAAAAACCATCAATACAATCAATATGTGTTTGATCATGAATTTTTTTTCACTTTTTCAATGGCTACAAAATATAGTAATTAATTTGATGACTTTTAATCAAGTCTCAATCAAATACCATCAATACAAACAATATGCGTTTGATCCTGAAATTTTTTTTTCACTTTTTCAATGGCTATAAAATATAGTAATTAATTTGATGACTTTTATAATAATCGGTATTACTCTGATCAAGTCTCAATCAAATACCATCAATACAATCAATCTTTCTGATCAAACAAAGATGAAATTTTAGTGAATGTTACTACTGATATCTTTAATGCAATAATAAACCTATTAGCAATATACAAAGGAAATTAAAAGATCCACATAATATGAAAAGTAATCAACCTTATATTTAATTCTAACGTAACGTTATTAAAATATATTTAATATTTATAATGACCATGAAGTGCCACGTTTCCAACATGGTGGGAGATACGTGAAGGAAAATAATGGTCTGACTTGTAATGTAGCTTCTGAACTTTTGCACTTGGATTTAACCTTTGCAAGTCAATTATGAAATACACTCAATACAAACACAAAACTTACCTAAGTTAAATTTATATAAGTACTATATATTTACTGGTCAATATTAAATTTTGAAAATCACACACTGAGATTTGTGAAGTTTGTTAGCGTTGACATATATATAAGTATATAACTATGTGAAATTAAGAATATACTACTATAAATTAAATCATGTGTTTCATAATTGAGATATTCTTCATGGAATAATTGTTTCAAGCATGTAAGCACCATCCCAACTAATTCAAAATCAAGTAAATAATGTGTTGTGCGGAATTTGAGATAATACGAGAAAATATAAATGCGGAAAAATAAGACAACAGATTTACGTGGTTCACCAATAAATTGGCTACGTCCACGGGAAGAGAGGGAGCAGTTTTATTATGGAGAGGCAAAAAACAGAATTACAGAATAGGGTTTCCCATAGCGTCTATATATAGTGCTAAGCTACGCCCTAACAGCGAGACCCCCGTCCTTTCTGTTTGTAGCGGGTCCGATTCAAGGCATTCAACATAATGTGGTATTAACAAGTTTAAAATCATAGATGTAGAAATTAACAAAATACAAAATCAGAACTCAATATCAAGTGTAGAAAAGTGGCTCAAAATGTGAAATTCTACTGAAAATCGAGTTGGAATTAACTCTCAAATCCCCAAATTACGATTTCTCAACTTTAAATACAAAACCTCAATTTAAACACCTAAACGCAAATTAAAATCTGAGATAATAAAAAATACCAAATATAATACAAGGTTAAATTTCTTAGCTCGAGACAAAATAATCAATATCTAATAATCAAATTAAGAAAATATTATTAACCGACCGAGCCGATAACATTCGAGAGCCGAAGCCCCAACTAAACATTTGGGCCAAACTAAATCTCTGCCAGCCCAGCCATCAGCCCCAACCCAGTTGATAGGCTTAGACCTAGCTCACCTAAAGTTGTTATTATTCTTAAATCAAACTAATAAGAATTTTAAATTTTTATAATAATAACAACTTACAGATAACTGTCGGTGAGAATACACCCTAATTATTTTGAAAAAAAAGTACCCCTTAATTAACTTTCATTTTCTAATATTAATCATATCTCTATTATACTACTTATAATTCTTGTTTGTAGACTAAGAAACAAGAAGTAGAAGTAGGACCATAACTTTGTGAATATTTTAATATTTTTTTGATTAGGCACACAAGTTGATGAGAATGAAGACATTCGAGTTAAGTAGAATCTGATAAAGGTGACAATAGTATATTAACAATTTCATCATTTAATATTATAAAACAAGTGTTATTAGCTCCTCATAATATTTTTTTATATGTATAATGTTACGAAAAGGTGATCGTCCTCTCTCATGTCTTATCTTTTGTATTATTGATAAGACTTGATTATTTCTAAACTCTGTTGAATATTGTTAATTTTGTCTAAATATGGATTAATTAAGAGAGATAATTGTTTTTTTTAGTTGGAGTTAAGATTTGGAACAACTTGGTCAACTTGCTTTGATCCTCTCTTCAATTCCTCAAAATTATATTAGGGTGTCTCTGTGTTTAGACAGTGGAATGTATTTCAATTTTTCATGTTAGATACAAATTTTTTTATTAAGAAAATAATTATATTTTTAATAATATGAAAAGGCACTAATATGAGTAGGAAAAATAAGTTTTATAAGTAATATTTTTACAGCTTAACTTCTCTTGAGACTATATTTTTTGTTAATTTTTTTTTAAAAAATCCAACTGAATCATAATAATCTCTTCCATTGATCAGTTCCATCACTAATATATGGGACATTCATATTTTATATTTAGATGTTTGAAAACTATTTATTTTATATTTTGATGCTTGAAAACTATTTTAGATGCATATTATGAGCTTTTATGGCTTGGAACTATGGAATACAATATCTATTGAGCATATGGAAGCAAGTTGATGATGAGCTGATTTGTTAAAGTAGTTACAATTTGTACAGGTGTCATAGAATTAGTGGTTAGTTATTAATTCTGTTAGTTAGTTAGTTGAGCTTAAATCAGTTAATACTTGTATATATACATGTCTGCAATGTGAGTTCAAAACACGTTTTCAAACAATAAACAAAATTTCCAATTCTCTCTGTTTTCAATAGACATTTTTGATATGGTATCAGAGCTTTTCTGATTGGATCTAGGGATTCTTTCTTGGCAATTAGTGAAGAATTGAGAGATTCATCAAGTAGAAAACAGAGATCTGAAGATAACTTCAATGGCGAGAAGGAACGATCATAATCATCCTCTGTTCTTATCTTCTTCAGATGTTGCTGGATCGGTGCAGATTGGGATTCAGTTAACAGGCATGGAGAATTACACCTTGTGGAGTCGTGCAATGCGACTCAACTTGCTTACCAGATTCAAATTGGGATTTATCGATGGCACAATCACACGAGATGCTTTTACAGTTGATTCTGAGAAGTAGGATTGGGATCGATGTAACGCAATGGTGATTTCATGGATCGTCAACAATGTCAGTAAGGAACTTGTAAGTGGAATTCTTTTTTGCTCTAATGCTAGTATAGTATGGAGAGACTTAAAGGAACGATTTGACAAAGTCAACATGTCTAGGATATATCATCTTCACAAAGCAATTGCTACCTTAACTCAAGGTGTTTCCTCTGTTGCTGTGTATTTTTCAAAATTGAAAGACCTCTGGGATGAATTTGATTCAATTGTACCTCCTCCTTGTTGTGAATGTCCAACATCGAAGGATTATGCTGATGGTCTGTTGAGACAACGACTTCTACAATTTCTCATGGGATTGAATGATAATTACAGTCAAACTCGTAGCCAAATTCTCATGATGATGCCTGTTCCTACTGT